ATAAAGCTTAGAGTCATTGGAAAGTAAAATCTAAGGAGAAGAGGCAGGTAGAGACAGAGAGCTGAGGAGGTGAGGGTGTCTCAGGCAATAACACCTGAGGGAGAACTGATATAATTACTAGTAATATTGAGGTCATGGAGATAATGAATCACACCAATTATAAATAAAAATAAAGGTAAGCAGGAAGTGAGGTGATGAGTTTACGCGGTCCTTTGAGACTATGGTGCTACACTGGGTTAGATCACTCTCTAAGGGGAGATATTTTCGTTAAAAACAACAAATCTGGGGTCTTTATTTACCTCTAAAGCCAAAGTTTAGTCTGTTATAACAAAAATAAATTCATTACTGAGATATTTCAACTTAGATGATCTCATAATAATTGGAGGAAAGAACTTAATGTGATTAAAAACAGCAAGTGATGACATAATAATATGAGAGTAGGAGTTGCCGTATTAAGGTATATTTTCAAAAAAGCTTGAGCGAGTAAAGGAAGTGTGTGTGTGTGTGTGTGTGTGTGTGTGTGTGTGTGTGTGTGTGTGTGTGTGAGAGAGTCTCTACAGATTTAAATCTCTGTGCTCCTACCTGTCAGACCCGAGCAGGCGGAAAACTCGGCTCGGATCACAGATCTCCTGGGTCACCTGAGGAATACACAAAAAAAAAACGTGTCACAAACAAACCCATCAACAAGCACCGCTGTAACACCCAGGGTGTTTCTCAATGTCGAGGAAGGCTGCTCCAGAGCCACTATTTCAAGGATGCTACGTCATCGAGTGCCGCCGAAGGACTGTTCCAATGTCCAGGATACTTGGAATTCTACCGAGGCCGGCATACTTCGTTGCGGGAAATTTCGAGGCTGCACATGTGTAGACTCCGCGGTCTTAAAATCCCCACAATGCTTTGCGCACAGACCAATTTCCAAAATCTTTGGCGGAAATCGCGCTACATTTAAGGCGGGGCCTCGCATATGACGCACACCTGTTCCACCATTCTTTGTTTTCCGAGGCTAGGAAGGATTCTTGCCTCGCTTCTGAAGGACCTGACTCGGAGGGACATGTCCTACCAAGGAAGAGTCCTCGACATTGAGAAACACCCACAGTCTGAGTCAAGACTAGAGAGATATAAATAATAAAATATGAAAAATAATAACGATTATTTTTGACTGACATTGCAAATGGGATGATGAGGGCAAGTTAACTGAAGCAATATAAAGATTCACGGATATGATTTATCTTTTTTGGATCGTTGAATAATTATTTTAGTAATTTTCGTAGCAAAAATAGTAAATATCTGGTGGTTCGGACACTTAAACACTTGTATTCTTTCATATAATATATTGATTGATTAATTGATCAGACCTAAAAGAAATAATATGATTTCAACCTTTCACTTGATATGGTCTCTTCGGGGGCTTTTATTCTGAAAATCTCTCCTGTTGTGTTTTCACTTTTGGTGGCAAGGCGACTGTTTGCTCGTGGATCACTGATTGTGTCTTTGAATAGAAAAACTTCTTTATGTTTCTGAAGGGAACCGTCTCTGTATCCTGACACTGCAGAACACACTCTCCCCTGTTTACCTGTGGTGAAGCGTGTGGACAGATGGGAGATAGTGAGTGTGTGTTTGTGTGTGTGACACCTGCAAGGTGTGAGAGCTTGGCCTCAGGAGATGGGATCTGTCTCAAGCTCTCAGGTGCCTCCGTTTTGTGAGTTATCATAACGAGACGAACGCTGAATTATTCATCTCCGCTCGCTGTCCTGTGACGGCTTTATGACGGACCATCAATGTTTCATGGCCGCTGACATTTCAGAAATCTCTCCTCAAACAGAGCTTTTGTTGTGTGTGACACTGCAGGCTTTCTGAAGCGCTGTATCACTTTCCACAAAAACACAACGCTTCACCTCCTTCACTCCTTGAACTTTTACACTGCGCAGTGTTCAGGTCAGCACGGAGGACAAATCCATTACCTGCAGCGACACAAAGACACGTTGAGTCTAATCTGCAGGATCAGAGACAGCATGTAGACGCGAGTTTAACAGCCGCTTCTCCTCAGAGGCTTTGTGGACCAGAGACAAGGTGTTTGTTGGTGTGTAAAACAAACACACCTGTATTCAGAGACGTGACCAACGGAGTGTCTCCTCCACTGTCACCGGGACACCTATAACCTGTATAAGGCTGATGTTTTGGTGACAATATTGACTTTAAAGAAACAAAACGCTTTTAAATGTTGAAATGTTTAATGCAGATTAAGGCAAATTAAATCCAAGACTTTGAGACTTAGTTGCATGTGTTTATAAATACATTTCTTAAATTGTATACTAAGTAAGAGTATGATTTGTATCTTCTGTGCAACTGCAGGACTCAGTGAGTAACACATTTTCTAACGGGGACAATAAAGTGTTTCGTATCGTATTAACGATAACCAAAATACAAGATACTTCCCCTTAGTTGTTGCTAGCTATCTGACTATCTGAAAACAACAAACTAAATATGAGTGTTGTAGTTTCCTGATCTTATGACGATACACAAGAAAATGGCATCCAGTAAAAGATTGTTTCAAAATATTTTCTTACCCCTTAATGACTTATTTTAACGTGAATTAATTCAAGGCTTTTAACGCAGCGTCCACACGGCAGCGTGCGTTGAAGCTCGCCGGTGAGCGTGTCTGAAACTCGACCAACAACCAATCACATGAATCTCCCGCCCGGACACACAAGCACGCGGTTTGATTGGCTAGAGCTTGTACTGGCATATGATTCGATTGGCTGACGCTTCCGTCGAAGCTTCAAAAGTTGAACATTGCTCAACTTTTGAAGCGAGCAACGCGAAGCGACGGAACCACAATGCAGTTCGGCAAAGCGTGACGGCACCCCATTCAAAGCGAATGGGAAGAAGCGTTGAAGCTTCAACGCACGCCGCCGTGTGGACGGGCCGTTAAAGGTTAATGGGAGAACAGGTAACGCTATGTATTTTGAGTCGAATTTCCCTTTAATCCAGAGTGTCATCTCTTTGTCACCTCTGTAACTTTGCATGTTTTTTCACTTAACTTCAACAAAGTGCACTATTTTTTAGAATGTGTATTTCAGAAAGAAAGCCACTAAGCGTTAATGGTGATGAGATGTATTGTTTTTACCTCATTAGACTTGAAGCTCTTCCCCTGCATGCCGTGTTTCCAGAAGGCCAGAACGCTGTCCTGAAGGCACACTGTCAAGAGAAATGGAGGAAAAATTTAATTTAGACACAAAAACACTGGAAAATAGGGTCCAGGTTACTCCTTAACGATAAGAAGTGCTGCATAAGTGTATTAAAGGTCACCCATCATGCTATTTTTAGGCAATAGCATAGGTTTAAGATATATTAAAATATATAAAAAACATGTCTATGAAGTGTTTTGCTCAAAATACCAAACAGATCACCCATTCTAGCCATGCCTCATATCCCTCTATTTCACTTCCTCTTTCAAAAGTGCTGATTTGGAGATAAAGCTTTAAAAAAAAAAAGAGGAGGGGTCTGAGCTCATGCGGGACCCGGCAGCTACGTGTCTAAACTAAATGCTGCCGTGATGAAACGCCATATCATGGATTATCAAGGATTCTCTCTGAAACAGTTTGGAGCTCAAAGGCTTTCTCTCTTGCCGGTTATACCACAAGGTGAGTTCCTTTTTACTTCCTGCTTCTTCACACACATGCTCTCCAGTACAGGTTAGCTCTGAGTGTTAGCGATGCTAATGTAAACACCGACCATATTACGTCCAAAACAGTCAGGCATTGTTTCTGATTGGGCCGTGGGTCCACATTTCAGATATTACGTCATATCGGACGCAAATCTGGATCAGCTCCGTTGTTCCCCGTTTTTTAGAGATTTGGGTACGGAGGAAAAGAGAGAGGGTTTTATTTTCTGACGCTGCGTGAGTTCCCTGACACACCGGGGACACATCTTTATGTATAGAAGACATCACAAAGTGCATTTTGCATGATAGGTCCCCTTTAAAATGCCTCACATAATTACATGTACCTATATTGCTTCACACAGACTGTAAAATCTGAGACTTCCTGTCTAAATCTTACCGACAGACCCGATGCAGAATTCGAAGCTGAGCTCAGACGCCAGCTTCTTGTTGGACTTCAGTCGGCCCTGGAGGTTCACTATCTTCAAATTTTCTGAGGAGAGAGATCACGACAGGCTGTAAGGAATACGTGGGAGAACATAGATATTTAAAATCTGATTAAAAGGGAGATTGTACTCACGGTCCAAACACACCAACACTGTGTCTCTCTCCAGCTGCGTCACATGGATCGCATCAACATGCTGATGAGCTGAGAAGGAAATTAACAACAATAAATATCCTGTTGTGATTTAGAATCTGATATAGTACTTCCCCTCAAGTCTTAATACTTCTTCCCCCACTGGCCACATCTCCACAGAACACATTCTGACTTTATATTGTTTCTTTTAGGAAAATATCACCGGCTTGAGCTTCAATCTCAGGATCCATGTATTTCTGATCCTCTCCAGAATGGAAGTATTCATCACATACAGAGCATCAACTAGTTCCTTCACATGCTGATATCCAAGAGAGGGAGTTACACAGTCACAAGATGGAGGAATACCGGTTCTTGTAGGAAATCATATCTCCTGTCACATACTAAATACTGACTTTTTTCTCAAAATGTTGGCTTTTTTCTGAAAATCCCACATTATGTCTTTCTCTAAAAATTCTGACTTTCTCTCAATTTTTACTTTTTCTCAAAATCTAAAAATTCTGACTTTTTTCTCAAAATCTAAAAATGCCGTCTTTCTCTCAAAATTCTGACTTTCTCTAAAAATTCTGACTTTCTCAAAATCAAACAATTCTGTATTTCTTTAAAAAATCTCAGAATGATGTCTTTTTTCTCAAAATCTCAAAATCCTGACTTTTTTCTCAAAATCTAAACATTCTGACTTTTTTCTCAGAATCTAAAAATTCCGTCTTTCACTCAAAATTCTGACTTTCTTCTCAAAATGAGCTTCAATCTCAGGATCCATGTATTTCTGATCTTCTCCAGAATGGAAGTAGTCATCACATACAGAGCATCAACTAGTTCCTGAACAGTGTCCTTCACATGCTGATATCCAAGAGAGGGAGTTACACCATCACAAGATGGAGGAATACCGGTTCTTGTAGGTAATCATATCTCTTGTCACGTACTAAATACTGACTTTTTTCTCAAAATGTTGGCTTTTTTCTGAAAATCCCACATTCTGTCTTTCTCTAAAAATTCTGACTTTCTCTCAATTTTTACTTTTTCTCAAAATCTAAAAATTCTGACTTTCTCTCAAAATTCTGACTTTCTTTCAAAATTCTGACTTTCTTTCAAAATTATGACTTTCTCAAAATCCAAAAATTCTGTATTTCTTAAAAAAAATCTTAGAATTATGTATTTTTTCTCAAAATCCTGACTTTTTTTCTCAAAATCTAAACATTCCGTCTTTCTCTCAAAATTCTGACTTTCTTCTCAAAATGAGCTTCAATCTCAGGATCCATGTATCTGTGATCCTCTCCAGAATGGAAGTAGTCATCACATACAGAGCATCAACTAGTTCCTGAACATTGTCCTTCACATGCTGATATCCAAGAGAGGGAGTTACACAGTCACAAGATGGAGGAATACCGGTTCTTGTAGGTAATCATATCTCTTGTCACGTACTAAATACTGACTTTTTTCTCAAAATGTTGGCTTTTTTCTGAAAATCCCACATTCTGTCTTTCTCTAAAAATTCTGACTTTCTCTCAAAATGTTTACTTTTTCTCAAAATCTAAAAATTCCACTTTCTCTCAAAATTCTGACTTTTTACTCAAAATACTGACTTTTTACTAAAAATACTGACTTTTTTCTCAAAATGTTGGCTTTTTTCTGAAAATCCCACATTCTGTCTTTCTCTAAAAACTCTGACTTTCTCTCAAAATGTTTACTTTTTCTCAAAATCTAAAAATTCCACTTTCTCTCAAAATTCTGACTTTTTACTCAAAATACTGACTTTTTACTAAAAATACTGACTTTTTTCTCAAAATACTGACTTTTTACTAAAAATACTGACTTTTTACTAAAAATTCTGACTTTTTACTAAAAATACTGACTTTTTTCTCAAAAAAAAATGTTAATAATCCCTGGTCACCGGCTTGCGCTTCAATCTCAGGATCCACGTATTTATGATCTTCTCCAGAATGGAAGGAGTCATCACATACAGAGCATCAACTAGTTCCTGAACAGTGTCCTTCACATGCTGATATCCAAGAGAGGGAGTTACACAGTCACAAGATGGAGGAATAGAAAGCAGTATTCAATGTTTACTTCAGATTAGCTCCACGTCAGAAATGAGCATGCTTGATGTCTCTCTCCATAGAGGCTGAATCATCATGTTAATCACATAGCTATCATATGCCTCAAACAGTCCTGATGCTCTTCTAGGTAATCACACATCCTGTCATGTTCACAGCTACAGTTGGGATACCTTTGTTATCATGTTACTCAGATATTGGAAGAGTACATTCAGTATTTCCCCAACAGTTTCTTTGGTGTTTGTCTCCATATTTTTGACTCACTTGCTCCAATCTCGGTGAACCAGGAGGAGCAGGAGTTGAGGTTGATGGTCTCGAAGCGGACCACCTGTCCCCGCTCGCTGCCCTGACTGATGGCAACACACACCAGAGGATACTCCTGCTCCGGGACCACCAGCATCTCAAACACCTTCAGGGGGCTGGGCAGGGGGAAGTCAAAGTGCTGCGGGGGGGAGAGACGACACCGGGGGTTAGTGATGTTAATGCTAATGTTAAATTAATGTTTAATGTTAAATGTATTTACTTGGTGTTTAGCTCGTAAAAGAAATCCCTGGGAACATAAATAACTTTAGTTTCGGATGCCAAGAGCAATAAATGCTTCTAGTTTATCCAAGTCATGATTCTGTTCTTGCAAAGCTATATATATATATATATATATATATATATATATTAGGGGTGGGGGAAATAATCGATACAGCATAGTACCGCGATACTTTGCGTGGTGATATTGTATCGATACACGGATGCCAAGTATCGATATTTTATTACATTAACTGTAGCATATCCCTCCGAAAGATGTATATATAAAAACAGGAAGTTACGTTCCATGTATACTCTATTGCAATGAAAGTAACAAAAACAATGCCATCTCCTTTTCATGTTCAACGAACACAAATTGGGTTATTTACATAATCTATTCATATTGCAAATACATTCTTTAACCAGGAAGGGAAGACGGACATGGATATGAACCATGGGATTTGCAATATCGCAATATATCATATCGCACTACTTAGCATATCGTAGAATCGCAATACTATCATATCGTGGGGAGCCTGCTGATTCCCACCTCTAATATATTTTAACTTATTGTGTTATACATTTTTGGTGCATACTTAGTCATTTTTCATTTTGAATATGCAAGTTTACTCTCTTAACTATATCTGCACTATCTGCTGATGTAATAATGTACATTTCTCTGTTGCTGGACAGATAAAGGATTGCACAATACTAAAATAAATACTAAAAGCATTCATGTTTTTATCTCTTAATGCAATGTAAAATCAATTTATAGTGCGTGTTGCAAGTTGTGACTTCGTTATTTGGGCTAGAAATGTATATTAATAATGTAAATTAACGGATTAGTTTTCCCCGGGGTTTCAGTGGTGATGCTTGAGATGAGAAGTTAAACTGACCTTGATGAGCATGAACCTCTGCATGGGCTCGTACCACTGCAGCAGAACGATGCCCGACTGCAGAGCTCCACACAGATACTTATGGCCGGTGTACGGGTTCCTCACTGGGAAACAGAGAAGAGATGATGATGAAGAAGAGCAGGCAGACTGAGATATATAGCTCCTTTATGACAGTATACAACTGGGCTAGGCAAACCTAAAGCAGGGGTAGACATTAAGGGTAACATTTGTGACCCTAACCCTATCACTGGCCCCGCCATTGTAACCACTGGCCCATGAGCATTCGTCCAAAAAATCTACTTATAATGAAGACAATTAATTAGTTGCAATAGTAATTTATGCACAAACTACATTACTACTTGTACTACAACATTTTAATCATCAGTTCTTCCTCATTTTCCTCAATTGTTCATATTTGGTTTATTAAAATTATTATATTGTGGTCATTGTTAAAAAATGGCCAACAACCAGGCTGAGTCGGGCTGAGTATAATAAACTAGAGAGAGAATCGCTGGCAAGGGGGCTACAACTATAACAAAATGAACATATTTGACCGTGATTTAATTGTAATACACGTTTAAAAATGATGCCGAAGTAACAACATAGTTAGTAAAAACCATGAATTAATGCTTTGACAAGTCTGCAGACAGACGGCAGGCGAAAAACCCTTTTAAAATGCGTGTTTTCTAAATAGAGATCGGCTAAGCTCACGCAGTATATGCTCCGTCCACACTCACAACAACGGCCTACAGACATAAATAAACCAGCGACTGTATTCGCCATGACACAGACAGTCTGTGGTTTGTACTTGTTTAACTTTTGTCTAGTTTCTGAACAGATATGAGGAGCTGTGAGCTCTGAGTGCTAACAGCTAACGGCTGATGTTGGTTTTGTGGTTCGCATTGAAGATGACGTCACGGCTCCGCCTACACTGCGTTACTATAGTTACTACCCCAGTTCCTAAACTGTAATGGAAACGCAGCATAAAGTGAGCCAGTCCTAACAAGGCCTAACGAGGCCGAGCCATACCGAGCGAGGCCCTATAGTGGAAATGCGCCATTAATAGTGCTTCCGGGCCAGCGGGCAATTTATAATGTCGAGCCCTGCTTAAAGTAATGAAGGATTACATGCATGTAAAACTTAGTCACATTAATGCAAAGTATGAAGAGTCACAAGTGCATACACCTCCCAATATACTTTTTATTTCTCACTAAATGGACAATTTCAAGAGCCTGAGCGTCCAGTTTCTATAATGGTTTTAGTTGTGGGGCTTTATTTGAATTATGTTTTATTTAACGATAAAAAAGGTTGAAAGACGACCGCAGCCACATTCGCAAAATCACTTTACAAAACATTTTATACAACAAAAAACAAAAATTCAATGAAGAAACTTGGACAAAATACAGAGAAAATATTGAAGAGGAAGCATTCCTTATTATTACTCTTTGAAAGAGTATGCTTGTAATCATATCCCCTCAAATGATCATTACACCACTTGCATTAAAGGGTTTTAAAATGACAATATTATCGTTTATCTCTTTTATTTCTGGGACAATAATATGGTCCAACGAAGTTATGGAGACGAGCTCACAGAATAAAAACATTGCCATTGCAGCAAAGTAAAGGGAGAAGAGTGCAGGAGATCCTCGTGTATTGACACAGTTTAAGATGAGTGAGTAAATAAAACAGTGTGTGTGTGTGTGTGTTGGGGGGGCACTCACCGATGCAGCACTTATGGCAGCTCTTTGTGTCGGGGATCTTGGTCGTCAGGGCGAACCTCCTGAGGAGAGAAACAAGAGGCTTTGAGGCAAAAGTTTTATAAAATGTCATGACGTCAGAAAACAGGGAGGTCAGCCAGAGTAGTTTGAAAGGATGGTAGAGAACAAAAGCTCTGCACGGCGTGAGAGTGGCAACATGATTACAGTCCGAGAAGTGGTGGTTAGGCAGGTTCAGATATAAGTCTGTGAAGCTCAGGGTTTGGTCTCACCTGGGCAGGATTTTGTCGGGGAAGCGGTGCGTCTGGAACTGAGCGGCGAGGCCGGGCTTCTTCAGCTGCTCAAACAGCCCGATGAGGTTATGAGAATACAGCTGGAAGGTTTTCCCTGCAGCACAAAAGAGATTTATGAGTAAAAACAGGAAGGTGTGTAGAAAATAGTCAAAGCCAGGTGTATATACTCTTCTTAATGTGGCTCTAATCTGCTTTCTGGGGTGTTCCCTTCCTGTAGAAGTTCTATAGGTTTGTGTGCAAATGGTCTGCAAGGGCTAAAGTCCCTGTGATGCTGGCAACAAGTAGAAGTATTTGGTTGTATAAGATATGTTGTGAATTTTGGAGATGATTACATCCATCTTATTTTCAGTAAATGTTTTTAAAAAATGCATTCATCATCATAATTATTCTATATATATAATTTACACAGTGCCTGTAAACCGGAGGAGAACGCTGGCATTTCTCGTACTTGAAAGACTACGGAGGGATAGGGTCTGCAAAATTAGTTTATTTTGGGGATTGACTGGATGCTCTGACCGGTCCACTTCCTACCCGGCGCTATGCAACGCCTCGCGTCGCGTCGAAAATAGACTTGCATCCTATTTTTAGCGGAGCCCAGCGCCGAGACGCTTCTAGCCGTAACGTGGCGCGTCTGGTGGAATAGCACCCATTGACTAGAGAGGCCGCGATCGCTGTGAACGCCGGATCGCAGCCGGAGCGCAGCCGTAACGCGGCGCAGACGGACCCGGTGGGTCTGGGGGTAATGCTCTGGAGTTATTGGAAATGTGTGGACCACACGAGTCTGAGACAATCCTATACAGCCAACACTGGAATATAACTCTACTAAGAGTTAAATACTAATACAATTACTGTACAAAAAAGCTCTGCTAAATTAAAATGTTGATTAAGATTTTTCAACTTCATGAATAAACTTTTCGGTACAGCTCTAATAATTTCTGCTTGGTACACATCCTGGATCCCATGAAGCAGCTTGTAGAAATGTTAGATGTGAACAGGGTAAATCAGCAGTGTGACGATGATGTGAAGATGATTACCTTCTGATGAAGCCGTTAGTAGAAGATCAAATGAAGCCAGGCGAGGAAGAGGAGGAGCAGGAGGAGGAAGAGAGAACAGAGGTTAACTGCTGGAGTACTGAGAGTAGCTCTGTAACACCGTCCTCAGCTGGAAGACTGAGGACAGACGGAAAGTTTGGTTTTAAATGAGGGGATCTGAGTTTACTGACAACAGATCAGAGGTTAAGTTAGACTTTTTCGTTGTGTGATATTTTGATGGAAGGGTCGCAACATGTCCATCAAAATAGGTCATAGCATTTAAATGCAATTCATTATTTTTTATAATTAGTATACAGAACAACGTTATATATAGGTCCCATCATTATGCGCTGCTTTCCCTCATCTACTCCAGTAGGACTCAGATGTTGCACTTTTCCTTGTACATGTGATTTTTTGAGGTTGTTGTTTTTTTTGTTTCCGTTAACTGTCAAGTTCCGTATTTTTTTGTACGTTTTTACAAAGTTCCTACGATACTGTTATGATTGGCTGTGAATTAGAAAATATGAAGGACAGACCATCGATTTCTATTTATTTATTTTGAGAGGTAATATCAGATTATTTTCTTGTCCCTGAACAAATAAAAATGAAATATATGATATAGGCTGAGGGTCAGTTTTCATGTCGACCTACAAGGAGCATATTAAAGATGTATTTCCTGGAGTGGCGGCAGAGGCCAATAAAAACACACACTAACAGGCAAATACTAACAATACAACTTATAAAATTAGTTTTTGTGACTTTACATCACGGTAGATCTCCCTCAGTGTTTTCAATCTGTCAAAATAACAAAAGGCCATTGGATTTTTCAAGACATTCAATTACCTAAAATGTATAAAAACATCATTTATTACCTCTTATGATTATTATTTATGTGAATTTTAGTACAATTATTATTTTATTTGTTTGCTTTTTACCTTCGATAATAATGTTTTTCTTTACTTGATGCATACGCTATGGGCTGTTACGTTTTATTTATACTGTATAAAGACAGTCAAATAGAGTCAAACAGAAACAAGAGTTTGTATTTTGAACAGTTAATGTATAACTAAAAATAAGTCACTACAAGTGTGCAGCTCCTATGTGACCTACAGAGAGCAGTATATGTGAGAGGAACAAACTGTGAAGCCACTGGTGTCCCTCGTGACTCTGTGCTGCAGGGACTTCCTATAATAGCTGTTTTATTTCAGACAGCAGAAGCTACAGGTATGGAGAGACTGTTCTTCAAGACAACAGAAGCTGCAGGTATGGAGAGACTGTTCTTCAAGACAACAGAAGCTGCAGGTATGGAGAGACTGTTCTTCCAGACAACAGAAGCTGCAGGTATGGAGAGACTGTTCTTCCAGACAACAGAAGCTACAGGTATGGAGAGACTGTTCTTCCAGACAACAGAAGCTGCAGGTATGGAGAGACTGTTCTTCCAGACAACAGAAGCTGCAGGTATGGAGAGACTGTTCTTCCAGACAACAGAAGCTACAGGTATGGAGAGACTGTTCTTCCAGACAACAGAAGCTACAGGTATGGAGAAGACTGTTCTTCCAGACAACAGAAGCTACAGGTATGGAGAGACTGTTCTTCCAGACAACAGAAGCTACAGGTATGGAGAGACTGTTCTTCCAGACAGCAGAAGCTGCAGGTATGGAGAGACTGTTCTTCCAGACAACAGAAGCTACAGGTATGGAGAGACTGTTCTTCCAGACAACAGAAGCTACAGGTATGGAGAGACTGTTCTTCCAGACAACAGAAGCTACAGGTATGGAGAGACTGTTCTTCCAGACAACAGAAGCTACAGGTATGGAGAGACTGTTCTTCCAGACAAGAGAAGCTGCAGGTATGGAGAGACTGTTCTTCTAGACAACAGAAGCTACAGGTATGGAGAGACTGTTCTTCTAGACAACAGAAGCTGCAGGTATGGAGAGACTGTTCTTCTAGACAACAGAAGCTACAGGTATGGAGAGACTGTTCTTCCAGACAACAAGAAGCTACAGGTATGGAGAGGACTGTTCTTCTAGACAACAGAAGCTGCAGGTATGGAGAGACTGTTCTTCCAGACAACAGAAGCTGCAGGTATGGAGAGGACTGTTCTTCCAGACAACAGAAGCTGCAGGTATGGAGAGACTGTTTCCTTCTAGACAACAGAAGCTGCAGGTATGGAGAGACTGTTCTTCCAGACAACAGAAGCTACAGGTATGGAGAGACTGTTCTTCCAGACAACAGAAGCTACAGGTATGGAGAGACTGTTCTTCCAGACAACAGAAGCTACAGGTATGGAGAGACTGTTCTTCCAGACAACAGAAGCTACAGGTATGGAGAGACTGTTCTTCCAGACAACAGAAGCTGCAGGTATGGAGAGACTGTTCTTCCAGACAACAGAAGCTGCAGGTATGGATAGACTGTTCTTCCAGACAACAGAAGCTACAGGTATGGAGAGACTGTTCTTCTAGACAACAGAAGCTGCAGGTATGGAGAGACTGTTCTTCTAGACAACAGAAGCTACAGGTATGGAGAGACTGTTCTTCCAGACAACAGAAGCTACAGGTATGGAGAGACTGTTCTTCTAGACAACAGAAGCTGCAGGTATGGAGAGACTGTTCTTCCAGACAACAGAAGCTGCAGGTATGGAGAGACTGTTCTTCTAGACAACAGAAGCTGCAGGTATGGAGAGACTGTTCTTCCAGACAACAGAAGCTACAGGTATGGAGAGACTGTTCTTCCAGACAACAGAAGCTACAGGTATGGAGAGACTGTTCTTCCAGACAACAGAAGCTGCAGGTATGGAGAGACTGTTCTTCTAGACAACAGAAGCTGCAGGTATGGAGAGACTGTTCTTCCAGACAACAGAAGCTACAGGTATGGAGAGACTGTTCTTCCAGACAACAGAAGCTACAGGTATGGAGAGACTGTTCTTCCAGACAACAGAAGCTACAGGTATAGAGAGACTGTTCTTCCAGACAACAGAAGCTACAGGTATGGAGAGACTGTTCTTCCAGACAACAGAAGCTGCAGGTATGGAGAGACTGTTCTTCCAGACAACAGAAGCTACAGGTATGGAGAGACTGTTCTTCCAGACAGCAGAAGCTGCAGGTATGGAGAGACTGTTCTTCCAGACAACAGAAGCTACAGGTATGGAGAGACTGTTCCTTCCAGACAACAGAAGCTACAGGTATGGAGAGACTGTTCTTCCAGACAACAGAAGCTACAGGTTATGGAGAGACTGTTCTTCCAGACAACAGAAGCTACAGGTATGGAGAGACTGTTCTTCCAGACAAGAGAAGCTGCAGGTATGGAGAGACTGTTCTTCCAGACAACAGAAGCTACAGGTATGGAGAGACTGTTCTTCTAGACAACAGAAGCTGCAGGTATGAGATGAGACTGTTCTTCTAGACAACAGAAGCTACAGGTATTGGAGAGACTGTTCTTCCAGACAACAGAAGCTACAGGTATGGAGAGACTGTTCTTCTAGACAACAGAAGCTGCAGGTATGGAGAGACTGTTCTTCTAGACAACAGAAGCTGCAGGTATGGAGAGACTGTTCTTCTAGACAACAGAAGCTGCAGGTATGGAGAGACTGTTCTTCCAGACAACAGAAGCTACAGGTATGGAGAGACTGTTCTTCCAGACAACAGAAGCTACAGGTATGGAGAGACTGTTCTTCCAGATAACAGAAGCTACAGGTATGGAGAGACTGTTCTTCCAGACAACAGAAGCTACAGGTATGGAGAGACTGTTCTTCCAGACAACAGAAGCTACAGGTATGGAGAGACTGTTCTTCCAGACAACAGAAGCTGCAGGTATGGATAGACTGTTCTTCCAGACAACAGAAGCTGCAGGTATGGAGAGACTGTTCTTCCAGACAACAGAAGCTACAGGTATGGAGAGACTGTTCTTCCAGACAACAGAAGCTGCAGGTATGGAGAGACTGTTCTTCCAGACAACACGAAGCTGCAGGTATGGAGAGACTGTTCTTCCAGACAAAGAAGCTACAGGTATGGAGAGACCTGTTCTTCCAGACAACAGAAGCTACAGGTATGGAGAGACTGTTCTTCCAGACAACAGAAGCTACAGGTATGGAGAGACTGTTCTTCCAGACAAACCAGAAGCTACAGGTATGGAGAGACTGTTCTTCCAGACAACAGAAGCTGCAGGTATGGAGAGACTGTTCTTCCAGACAACAGAAGCTGCAGGTATGGAGAGACTGTTCTTCCAGACAACAGAAGCTACAGGTATGGAGAGACTGTTCTTCCAGACAACAGAAGCTACAGGTATGGAGAGACTGTTCTTCCAGACAACAGAAGCTACAGGTATGGAGAGACTGTTCTTCCAGACAACAGAAGCTGCAGGTATGGAGAGACTGTTCTTCCAGACAAGAGAAGCTACAGGTATGGAGAGACTGTTCTTCCAGACAACAAAAGCTGCAGGTATGGAGAGACTGTTCTTCCAGACAACAGAAGCTACAGGTATGGAGAGACTGTTCTTCCAGACAACAGAAGCTACAGGTATGGAGAGACTGTTCTTCCAGACAAGAGAAGCTACAGGTATGGAGAGACTGTTCTTCCAGACAACAAAAGCTGCAGGTATGGAGAGACTGTTCTTCCAGACAACAGAAGCTACAGGTATGGAGAGACTGTTCTTCCAGACAACAGAAGCTACAGGTATGGAGAGAGACTGTTTCTTCCAGACAACAGAAGCTACAGGTATGGAGAGACTGTTCTTCCAGACAAGAGAAGCTACAGGTATGGAGGAGACTGTTCTTCCAGACAACAAAAGCTGCAGGTATGGAGAGACTGTTCTTCCAGACAACAGAAGCTACAGGTATGGAGAGACTGTTCTTCCAGACAACAGAAGCTGCAGGTATGGAGAGACTGTTCTTCCAGACAACAGAAGCTACAGGTATGGAGAGACTGTTCTTCCAGACAACAGAAGCTACAGGTATGGAGAGACTGTTCTTCCAGACAACAGAAGCTACAGGTATGGAGAGACTGTTCTTCCAGACAACAGAAGCTACAGGTATGGAGAGACTGTTCTTCCAGACAACAGAACAGAGCAGCAGGTTATGACAGTGAAGCAGGAGGCTGTGAGGGTCCATCACTCACCAGATAGAGACATCAGGTTGTTGTTGATGACGTACAGCCATGTGCATTTCCTCGGGAACAGCTGTAGAGGGAATTAAACAAAAATAAATTAGCTTAAAAGTATAAAGAACGGATTAAAAAGTGAGCTTATACGCTCCTACATTAGCTGTAGCAAGCCTTCTCTGAAAAAGAAAGTACGTTTTTCTACCTAATCCTGGTTTTAATAATTAATTTTGATTGATTTTAGCAGCTGTTACCTGCTCCATTGTGGCTTCATGCAGCTCGTTAAGATTCAGCGTATAGATGCCATCCTCCGTCCCAAAGATGATGTACTGATCTACAAGAAAAACGTTTTTAAGAGTTATTTACTGGCTTTAATAAAACATGTTTGTGTGCCACTGTTGTTGTTGAATCTGTACCTTTGGTGTCCGGATGAATCCATGACGTGGCACAGTTGATCTTCAGAGGACAGCCGTCAAACACTTTAGAGAAACAGGCTCCCATCTGAAATAAAAAAAGGGAAACGGGGCTCAGCGTTGGATCAGTGAGGCGGGAAATGGTCTTGCAGCTGAAAGCTCTGCGGACCCGAACATCAATGACATCACATTTAATAACAGGGGGAAGACAGAGGATCAGAAACCCTTCATTCATCCAGCAAAGAGGCCGTGCAGATAAAAGCTAAATAAAAAAGACTAATGCTGGACCCATGGTAATGTCCTGCCTGGTGATGGACATGACACTGTAACATTGAAAACACACACATTGTTTGAATCTTTCTGTTATTAACATCAATGTTCTGTTATGTTCATGTGCAGAGCCACATGTAAAGGTAACCTATTATGCAAAATCCTCTTCTTCATGTCTCTTCTACATCAACATGTGTCCCCTCTTCTTCATGTCTCTTCTACATCAACAGTGTCCCCTCTTCTTCATGTCTCTTCATCACATGTGTCCCCTCTTCTTCATGTCTCTTCTACATCAACATGTGTCCCCTCTTCTTCATGTCTCTTCTACATCAACATGTGTCCCCTCTTCTTCATGTCTCCTCTGCATCAACATGTGTCCCCTCTTCTTCATGTCTCTTCTACATCAACATGTGTCCCCTCTTCTTCATGTCTCTTCTACATCAACATGTGTCCCCCTCTTCTTCATGTGTCTTCTACATCAACATGTGTCCCCTCTTCTTCATGTCTCTTCTACATCAACATGTGTCCCCTCTTCTCATGTCTCTCTACATCAACATGTGTCCCTCTTCTTCATGTCTCTTACATCAACATGTGTCCCCTCTTCTTCATGTCTCTCTACATCAACATGTGTCCCCTCTTCTTCATGTCTCTTCTACATCAACATGTGTCCCCTCTTCTTCATGTCTCTTCTACATCAACACGTGTCCCCTCTTCTTCATGTCCTTCATTGTCCCTCTTCTTACATTCAACATGTGTCCCCCTCTTCTTCCTGTCTCTTCTACATCAACATGTGTCCCCTCTTCTTCATGTCTCTTCTACATCAACATGTGTCCCCTCTTCTTCATGTCTCTTCTACATCAACATGTGTCCCCTCTTCTTCATGTCTCTTCTACATCAACATGTGTCCCCTCTTCTTCATGTCTCTTCTACATCAACATGTGTCCCCTCTTCTTCATGTCGTCTTCTACATCAACATGTGTCCCCTCTTCTTCATGTCCTCTTCTACATCAACATGTGTCCCCTCTTCTCATGTCTCTTCTACAATCACATGTGTCCCCTCTTCTTCATGTCTCTCCCTACATCACCATGTGTCCCCTCTTCTTCATGTCTCTTCCTACATCAACATGTGTCCCCCTCTTCTTCATGTCTCTCTACATCACCATGTGTCCCCTCTTCTTCATGTCTCTTCTACATCACAACATGTGTCCCCTCTTCTTCATGTCTCTCTACATCAACATGTCCCCTCTTCTTCATGTCTCTTCTACATCAACATGTGTCCCCTCTTCTTCATGTCTCCTCTGCATCAACATGTGTCCCCTCTTCTTCATGTGTCCCCTCTTCTTCATGTCTCTTCTACATCAACATGTGTCCCCTCTTCTTCATGTCTCTTCTACATCAACATGTGTCCCCTCTTCTTCATGTCTCTTCTACATCAACATGTGTCCCCTCTTCTTCATGTCTCTTCTACATCAACATGTGTCCCCTCTTCTTCATGTCTCTTCTACATCAACATGTGTCCCCTCTGTGGAAAGAGACTCTGAAAGTTTCAGGAACAAAGATTCTCTCTCTTTTTGTCCTGATCCATTTCTATAAAAACCTGTCTGAAAATGAGCTGATTTGGCCACTTTATGATGTCATAACGATGTTTGGTCTTGTGTAACCATTAGCCAATCACCAACCAAGGTAAACCCCCCCCCCCCCCCCACCTTATCACCTGAATCTCCTCCTAGAGCACCATTGTGTTCTTTGTAACCAAATCTCTCTCAGAGGGGCTCCTTATTTTCATCTAAAGTTACAGACAGAGAATCAGCACTTTTGAAACAGGGCGGAAACAGAGGGGATTATGGGTAATGCTGCAATGACCTGTTTGGTGTTTGGAGCCAAACACTTCAGAGACATGTTTTGTATATATCTGAGACCTATAATATATTGATGAAAAACAGAACAATAGGGTTTAATATTTAATATTGAGTTATAATGACAAGGAGTAAAGCTCACACAGGCACAGAGGGCAGCTCAGGGGTCCTTCAGGTGAAACGCAGGAGGGTAAAGGTATCATACATCATTAGACCGAGCCAAATGTATGCAGCCATGTAGCCGTGATGTGTTTGTATGTTTCAGGATAGCATAGATATAATTGAAGTAGTGAAAGGGATGAGTAAAGTATGTGAAAGGGTACATTTGACCAGTTAAATGTGTCATGTGAAACGTGCGTCACCTGCTAGCTAATATGGACAAACGAGTGTCATCACCTGTTTCTAAAGTAAGAGAATGTGAACGAATGTAAAAGCAAAGACATCACTTATTAGACCGGGCCGAGTGTTTGCATATTATAGAACAAAGAAAGTCAAATGATTTTAATTTCAACTTATGCACGCCTGGAAGTCTCTTTTATGTCAGAGTGTGCAACATTAAGATATTAAATAAAGAGGCAAGTATCCATTACAATAACAATCAAATAAGTACTCAAGTTAACACACAGAAGTGAAAAAAGATTCCCTCACCAGGACTTTAGGAGTGGGAGGAAGACCGTTGATGGCTGGTTTCTAACGAGGAGGAAAACAAAGATAATTTAGAACACAGACAGCAATTATTTGTAATGAAGTAGCTTAAATTAGATCAACAACAACAAAACAAACAATAATTTCCTTGGTGTGTGTTCTAGTTTTACTGTGCAGCCATATTTCCTTCTTCAGCTGTGAGTGTCTGGATGGGAGGAGGGCACACGTATCGAAGACTTATAATTAGGGCTGTCAGTCGATTAAAATAGTTAATCGCGATTAATCGCACATTTTTGATCTGTTCTAAATGTACCTTAGAGGAATATTTTTCAAGTTTTTAATACTCTTATCAACATATGAGTGGACAAATATGCTTTATGCTAATGTTTATTATCATTTGAACAATGACAAATATTCCCATGAATATTAAACACAACAACCTGGAACCTCTCATTCAATAATACAATACAAAGTGTGTGTGTGTGTGTGTGTGTGTGTGTGTGTGTGTGTGTGTTTGTGTGTGTGATGGATCGTTGGAGCTATGTGCAACTCAAGGCATGTGCTCGAACGGGAGCTGCCTGGACGCTGCAATCATGTTGCGCACTATCCGTGCTGAGTGTGCTGACTTTTCGAACAATGTCCCACTGTCTGGCTTCCTGCATAAAGTCATGTGCTCGGCGAAATGTCGCTCCTCTGTTTTCATTGAAACAGCTCCTTATATCCGTTAGCGCAGCTAGCTAGCACCAGATGCTAACAACAACAATACACGTAAGGTCGGTCTCTCGCTCGCTCGCGCCACACATACACACACCCTCCCAGTCCTTCCGATGGCCAGTCGGTGCCTGCCGGTGAGCGTGGAAGTGTGGTCAGCCACAAGCGGGCGGCAGGAGCGGGGCTGTCAGCATCAGCTTGTAGATGGTATTTTAAACTCGATGCGCTCTGAAACTACGGGGCGGCCGAGGACAAAAAATACACATGCGTTAATCGCGTTAAAATAATTAGTGGCGTTAATGCATTATTAACGCGTTAACTTGACAGCCCTACTTATAATAATATATAACATATTTGAGGTTCCAGTGTGATGACAGTCCGATAGTTAGAGACACCGACTCCAGATATAAAAAATAACTCTTAAACCACACGTGATTTCATGCTCAAACCAGCGGTGGGTGGCTCGTTTGCCTCATACGATTTCACCATATTTAATTCATGACGTCTAATTATTTCCTGTTGTTTTTATTGTGATGTTTTCCTCTGTTTGGCTGATGTTTCTGCTTATTTTATGTTCTTTGTTATTGTTTGTTTTTGTCCTTAAACTAAGGGGCGGTTGGTTGTTTAAGCATGTGGCTTCTGACATCTCCTGTCACTTATTTGTCACTTATTTGATCTGGATTTAATGCAGTCTGTTGTGTGTGTAAACTATTTCTTACACGAGGCTTATAATGTTTAAAATGCATATAAAAACATAATATATATATATTGTGTAATAACTCACAGGGAATTCCTTTTTCTCCTTGTGGCGCTGCCTGTTGAGCGGCTGCATGTTACCTTCTCCATTCACACTGTCATCCGAATCGTTATCTGCAGAATAAAAACACATGTAAATATGAAATGTGTAAAACAATAACATCTGATTTATAAGACGAGACATGTTTACATGCAGCTCTCTTACCTTTACATACACGTTTACTGAGAGCTTGTAAAAAGCAAAACACATTTTCATTTAGATAGATGGATAGATGGATAGATGGATAGATGGATGATGGATAGATGGATAGATGGATAGATGGATAGATGGATAGATGGATAGATGGATGAGATGGATAGATGGATAGATGGATAGATGGATAGATGGATAGATGGATAGATGGATAGATGGGATGGATAGATGGATAGATGGATAGATAGATGGATAGGTGGATGGATGGATGGATGGATGGATGGATAGATGGATAGATGGATATATAGATAGATGGATAGATGGATAGATGGATAGATGGATAGATGGATAGATAGATGGATAGGTGGATGGATGGATGGATGGATGGATGGATAGATGGATAGATGGATATATAGATAGATGGATAGATGGATAGATGGATAGATGGATAGATGGATAGATAGATGGATGGATCTAAAAACAAGGCAATGTAATTAAGAGAAATTAAGACACAAGAAACAAACAGTCCAAAATATTTCAGAAATAGAAATAAAATAACATTAAAAAAGTATATATACATGTGACACTTATATAATGTTATTGCAGATGTGTTTAGAGGCTGAGACTCACCGGGGTCGGAGGCGTGGGACAGGAGGCCGGGGCTGCTGACGCTGACGGACAGGAAGTCAGGAGAGGAGTGCTCCAGCTTGTTGCCCAGGTGCTCCGGTGTGCTCTGGATACGGGCCACCGGAGTCGGTCCGTTCTCAGAGTTCGGGAACCTCCGCACCGTCAGGGAGCGGTCGTCGTTCAGACCCAGCTCCTCAGACGAGCTGTTCAACCGCGGCTGAGAGGGGGAAACAGGTTGGTGGTCAATCAGAGTTCTAGTTACAGATACACAGGTTTTTTCTTATTCAGGAGCAAGACACTGTTGCTGGCCTCCTTGGATAGGCTCGGAGGTGAGAAGTAGTGGATTAAAAATACTTAAGTAAATGTTTCTGGTATCAGTACTTTACTCCACGACTTATTTTTCTGACGACTTTTTACTTTGACTTCTTACATTTTGAAATACCTGTACTTTCTACTTCTTACATGTTGAACCCAAATACCTGTACTTTCTACTTCTTACATGTTGAACTCAAATACCTGTACTTTCTACTTCTTACATGTTGAACTCAAATACCTGTACTTTCTACTTCTTACATGTTGAACTCAAATACCTGTACTTTCTACTTCTTACATGTTGAACCCAAATACCTGTACTTTCCACTTCTAACATGTTGAACCCAAATACCTGTACTTTCTACTTCTTACATGTTGAACCCAAATACCTGTACTTTCTACTTCTTACATGTTGAACCCAAATACCTGTACTTTCTACTTCTTACATGTTGAACTCAAATACCTGTACTTTCTACTTCTTACATGTTGAACTCAAATACTTGTACTTTCTACTTCTTACATGTTGAACTCAAATACCTGTACTTTCTACTTCTTACATGTTGAACTCAAATACTGTACTTTCTACTTCTTACATGTTGAACTCAAATACCTGTACTTTCTACTTCTTACATGTTGAACTCAAATACTTGTACTTTCTACTTCTTACATGTTGAACTCAAATACCTGTACTTTCTACTTCTTACATGTTGAACTCAAATACCTGTACTTTCTACTTCTTACATGTTGAACTCAAATACCTGTACTTTCTTCTTCTCTCATTTTCCAAACAGCTGGTTCCTTTAGTCTGAATGTGTGTTTGATGCGTGATCATTATTCTTTAGAGTCATTGCGTGCCTATTGATTTGAACACGATCCGTGTATCCATCATTTCCTGGTCTTCTCTAAAGAAGAGGGACCAATGGAAACGTTGTCATGTTGCCGTTGTTCAGCATGGAAACATTCATTAGCTAACAATGACATTATTGTTCTCTTAACATAAAGGGAGGTCAGGTACTCTTTAAAACAACTGCTAGTTATGGGTACTTTTTACTTAAGTACATTTCAAAGCCCTCTTTACTTTTACTTCAGTAAAGAAGTTTAGTCAGTACTTCTACGAGAGTATTTTTAAACATGAGTATCTGTACTTCTACTTGAGTAAAGGATGTGTGTACTTTTACCATCTCTGGATAGGCTGTATCTATGAGCATGCACAAAGATATTCATGCTCAATGCTTTGTTTGTTGCAGCATTCTCCGAAACATCAGGGGCGTAAAAACTCAATATTCAGTGAAAAAACACGAGTAACTGATAAACTGTTTTATGCTTAAAAGAAGCAAACAAGTGTAAGCAATAGTACAGACTTCTTTGCGTTGGAAATCATGCTTCTCTTTTTCAACACAGAAGACAAACAGAACAGCCAACAAAAAATCATTTAAAAAAAAACATAGCATGACAGGAATACCGTACTTAATGACATAAGGCGCTTTCACACCAAGTACTTTGCCGTACTTAGTTCCCAGTACTTAGTTAATCAGAACTCTTTAGTTCTGATGAACTAAAGAGCAGATCGCGTTCACACCGGAATAAGTTCCTGGGGAAGACAAATGAAGCCGCTGACGTCACTTCTTCTGCTTTGGGTTTACTGGCAGGCCGCAAACAACTTCACGGCGTATACTGCCACCCGAAGTCCCCGGCCGGAAGTCCCTGGAGTTCAGCCTTCAGAGTAAATCGCCAGAACGCCGACACCTCCTCATCTCCACCGCTCCCATGTTTTCTTTTGTGTTGCCATAAGTTAGTCTCTCTGCATTTGTGAGCTGGGCTAATGCTAATAATGCCAGCAAATACAATGGCGGCTTCACAAAACTTTTCAGAGTTTTACGGGGCGTGGATTGCAATCCGCCCAGCCAATCAGAAATGGGAACCTTTTTCTCCCATGAAAGTACCTGCTCTCTGACAGGGACTGAAAAGGTTCTCATGAACTCAGTTCTAGTTCCGGATTGTTTTGGTGTGAACCATAGACTGTATATGTGTGTGAATGCAACATTTCAAGAACTATCGGAACTATACTGGGAAAAGTACTCCGGTGTGAAAGCGCCTATACATAGTCATAGTGGGAAAGAATATACAAAATAGTATATATAATAAAAAGAAAGAAATAAACTTAAAGTTTATTTGTACATCTCAGTCGCTGTCCCCCTTATAAATGAAACCATTGGACCCCACATCCTTTCAAATTCCCCAAGTCTTGTTTTATGCTACTTCTTAATTCAGGCTCTTTGCATTTATCAGTCTTTGTGGCTGTCGTGTCATGTCTGAAAAGTTGGTGACAACTTTACAAAATATGTGAGCGAGCACAAACCGAGTGCATCGATAATTGCATTTCAACAATCCTTACATAATTTTTTTAATTATAATTTCTCCTCTCACCTTTGGGGGCAGAGGAGGAGGAACCCCGGGCTTCAGAGTCGACCTGAAACATAAAGGTATGTCTTTATAATCATGTTAACTACAATGATGAGTATTTCTGTATCCATGATGTAATGTGTCGTGACGTCACTCACAGCTCCACCTCTTCAAAGGCATCTTGGAGGTGTGCGATGTGTCCCCTGCAGATTAGACAGTGATCAGTGGAAGATATGAGTCATAGAGCTCAGGGGGAGGGGGGGGGGGGGGTTAATGGTGGAGGTGTTTATTTAAAATCCTCCTTAGAGATGAACAGTATGACTCTAAGGAGAAGGATGAGGTCAGGGTGTTTTCCTTTGAGCATCATGGGATGGAAACTACAAGACATGTTCCGTAAACATCGCTGAGATCTGTCATCAGCGACTGTGTTTACTGTGAGGTTAGAATAAAAAACAACGTCTGCAGATCATCTTTACCCTCCATCAAATACTCTGTTATTTGGATTCTGCAAAAAGTATTTAGAGGACATTAGATATATGACATTCAAACTCTAAATCAACATTCAATTCTGTGCAGCTATTTTTTTTACATTAGCATATCTATAGAGAGTTTAAAACCGGTATTTTTACACGCGACGATATATCTTCATAAAACTTTACTTGAATTTAATAATAAATACATATTCTGCTTCAATCAAGCATGTTGCCTCTACCTCTAAAAATATATATTTGTACTCATTATTTTTTCATTTTAAATTAATCTTTTTACTGTTAATTTTATTCCTTTAATTAAACTTATGTTTAATAAAAAAAAGAAGTAATACAACTAGATTAATCACTTTATTTAAATTGAGATTTTGTTCGGGATGTTTTTATTATTATTCTATTATTCTTATTTATTTAAAAAGAATATATTTGTTAGTGTTTACATCCAAAATAATGACAATAGGGACTAGAAGCTTCAAACCTCAATGCCAGCATGTCTGGGTCTAAAGTCAGCAGCAGCTTGTTTCTGCAGCTATGATCACACCACACATGGTGAATGGGGGGGTGATTGGTGGACATGGTGAGCACTACAATTCTGTGAAAGGATGGTGGGGGGAGGAAGCGAGTGGATGACGTGAGGGAGGGGGGGGGCTCTACATCTCTACAGTGTTAGTGTTACCGTTGGAACAACTCGTCCTCAACGCTTTTGAGAAGACTCCTTCGAGGGGGAGAGAGACAGTCGAGAGAGGAGAGAGAGAGAGACAGTGAAAGCAGACAGACAGGTGAGGAGGCAACACATTAGACTGCAGGAGTTGGGGGGGGGGGGGGTCGTGCACACAGACAGGTGAGGAGGCAACACTTCAGACTGCAGGGGGTAGGGGGGAGGTCATGCACACAGACTCAGGTTATATCTGGAGAATCAGCAGGTTAAAGGGAGAGAGTGAGGAGCATCCAGGGGAAATTCATTTACACTCAAGAATCTATAAGGGATATCAAATTAAAGATATCAACCAAAATGCATTAGGCAGTTCTCTCGATTATTTCATTTTCTATAAATATTTAATGAAGGATGCAGATCATTCTCAGAAATAGTATATTTAACATGTTGTCAGTCACATTGATATGAACGTGCAATAAACTTTTGTCAACTTGGAAACTTGCTCGCGATATTTAGCGACTTTTCATAGCCTCAAAGCAACTATATTAAAGAACCTTTTTAAGTTGTTTTTACCACTACTACTACCACCACCACC